TATCTGTACTAAGAGCTGCGCAGAATCAATGGTAGAGCCACTAATTTCAATCTCCTTTTCTTATCTAGCAATTTATGTACGACATAAGAATCAGCCTAACAGTGTTTAAATCCTTTATTGGATGACAAAAAAATATGACTTTCCTCTCTTTCTGTTCTTGTCATCGATTAGAAGATGTTCTATTGATGTAGATCATGTTGTCTATTCCGTAAGTTGTTTGCGCACACCTGCAGGAAGAATACTTGAGCCACTTATTTTGGTTATGATTAAGTCAGCTAACCAACTCGGAGCCATTGAGAGTGGAAAAAAGAATAGACTCGATTGCCAACCCGGTCGATAGCGGATACATGGCATTGTATTCATGACAGCATGTCGAAGTGCTTGCACTACTTTGTTCGGATTTTCGGCATTTCGAATGAATACGTTGGCCGCTACTTGTTTAATTTCGGCATTGAAAAATTCTTCGCCCCATCGGTTTTTAACATCAGCCGAAAGGTCGGTCCACAGCTTTCGTACGAAAGGATTGTGTCCTTGGATCATGGGTGTTAGCATGAAGCCCGGCTCGATGATGCTCACACGTAGACCCCACGGGGTCATTTCACGACGAAGACAATCAGAAAAGGATTCGAGAGCATATTTTGACGCACAATAACCCGACTTAGCGGGTCCGCTTATGAATCCATAGATCGAACAGATATTAACAACACGTGAATCCCGTTTAGCTATGAGCAATGGCAAAAATTTCTTGGTCATTGCAACATGACCAAAAAAGTTAACATCCATAGTTGTACGCATGAGATCAACAGTAATCCAATCGATGTATCCACTCCTACTTATACCAGAGTTGTTAACAAGCGCATGAAGAGTATTTGTTTTGTCTTTAATCATGTCGTATGCGGCATCGATTTCTTCTTGACGAGTAATGTCAAGACGAAACACAACAGCTCGTGACGAAAGTTCATTGGTAAGTGAATGTTTATTGTCGATATTGTATATACCGGCAAGTACGTTAAAACCTTGTTTATCAAGTTCAATAGCCAATGCATGACCGAAGCCTGTATCACAGCCACTAATCAGCACATATTTGCCACACGGATTGATGTTACGCGGTGGACAAAAATGCAGATACAATCTATAAGCAATATAGAGAATGAGTGCCAAGCAAATAAACAAGCATGCAGTTGTCATTCTACACGAGCAGTAACCAGAAGTACTATAACAAATATGTCAGCGTAGCTTTCGTTCAATGAAATATACTTCAATAGACTAATAATGAGTAATATGAGTTCATTGATCATTATTTTACTTTTTGAATTTATTTAAAAAAAAAAACTTGTGAATATTTTGGACTGATTTACCATCCATTATCAACACAAATGACAAGTAAAGGATACACAATTTTCTTTTTGTTATATGTACGACTATTATTGTCTTTTATTTTCGTTCTTCTGTTCTTTAACATTGCAACGCACAAAGGGGGAGAAACGTTGGTGTGTGCATTGCAATGTTAAAGAATAAAAGATAATAAAAAAATTTGTGTATCCTTTACTTGTCATTTAAGTTGATAACGAACGGAAGATTAGGCCAAAATATTCACAAGATTTTATAAATAAATTCAAAAAATAAAAAAAATGATCAATGAACCCGTATTAATCGTTATTAGCGTAGCTTTCGTCTTATTTACCTGACGTTGCTTGTCGACAACAGAAAGATTATACTGAATTAAGAAGTGTAATGGCGAAAAAGACGACGGTATAGATAAAAGCGAAAAAATATGCCTCTTTCATTCTCCTTTTTTCTATTCATTTCTCCATCTGTCATATGCACACACGTTCTTTCTATTGGACTTTAGAATCACTTCAATAGTAAAAAAAACACAGCTGTAATGTGGAGAGAACAATTCACAATCACATGAAACATCGTTAATCTTCTGAGCATCAATGGAAAAGATTTAAGGAGGAAGGAACCCAATCATTCGCATCGTCGGATACATATGAAGCTATGTTTAAGAATGAACCGTGTAACAAATCTTTTACAACTCGACATAGAAGAAAGAAGCTCTCTGTAAAGTCGTCAATGAAGAATGAATCTAAATACATGAAAATATACGGAACGCTGTGAACTTCCATTCGATCTAGAAGGAAGCCAGGATTTCCACTATGCCATTTTTTGCAAAGATAAGAATCCAGTGCCTGACTTTTGTGCGCAATTCTTTTGATATACGTATATGCATTCGCAAGAACTTCGCTGATACAAGATCAGGCGATCATTCGAACCTTAACGATCAGTTCAAGTTTGTAATTCTATGTCTGAAAAACTTAAAATGTAACTATGCTATACTAACATTTGAATGAACTTGTTCTAAAACTTTGACATTTGTGATTATGAAATTAACATCGGATGTAGGCATTGAGGTTTTTTTCTTTTATTTACAATGAAATATTACATCAATATTTACTTTTTCTATTGCTTTAGCTTTTGATGCATTACCCATCGATGAAAATCGATCGATTATATCAATGAATGAATTTCGAGTATTTTCAATCATTTCTAACGACTTTATTCAAAATATGAGATTTAAGCTTCAAATATATTGCCTTTGGTGCCTGATTACGAGCATTTTCATCGAAATAATTTTTAATATAAAGTTTCAAAACTACAAAATCCATATTATTATTAATGAAAACTCTGTATTTTAGGGTATGAGTGGGTAGGTATTGTGATCAGAATCATTTCTACATCCACATCCGACCGACATTTACATTCACATACTTCCACTATGCCACTGAAACAAAGTTCTTTTTCATCGATTGTAATTTATTGTGCATCGAACTGTATAAGTACATTCATTTTTTTAAATTTACATCTTTCGAATTAATTCATAACATGGCGATTAACTATTACTAAGAGGCTGTCATTCATTTAAACCTTTTAATAATTTTGAAGTTGAATTCTAAAGTCAATTGTTGGTTAATCGATCGATGTAACAATATATTTTGCTCAGCTTATAATACAATTATCTATGCAACTATCCAGTTTCTCGTCGAGGCAAAGAATTGATTTGAATATGAAGATACTTGAGAAAAATAACATTTGACGTTCATATATAAATCGAAAATATAACATCTATTTTTCTCTTGTGCAGAAAACGAATTTTTAGTTGAATTCAATTACGATATATGATTTTTCATTACATTTTAAAAAATATTTTAAAAATACTTTCTCTTATTTTCGATCTATAATGAAAAAGAACGAAATAAAAATGTAATCTTGTAAAGAAATCCATTATTTTTTTTGTTAAGAAATCATAATTAGCGATCAATCAACCCGTATTTTATATATGATATAAATAGTGCATTTGTTTTAAGTTTGTACAGAAAATTATTTTATAAGGTAGCTTGTAACTCATGACGGATATCTCACTCTCATGTGTTAAACAATCGTTGGATAGCCAAAAGTAGAAAATAAAATGTGATTTTATTCGTCCAAGTGAATTATAGTAAGATATATATTCACTTTTGTATCCAGCCTGTACGATATGGGTGTGTGATATATGTCATTGCTTCGTCTTCATCAACGATTACATCCACACTCGAGTCAAGTTAATTTTTCCAGTTTTGTGTTTATTTTTATAAGACTATTTTAGTTTGCACAACAATGTAAGGGTAATGAAATCAACTTTTCTCTGTCATACAGTTTCACACGACAGTAAAACATTAATTTTTATAAACTAAAATCTAAGTTTAAAGTTGATGACAAGCAAAAATTATTTATTAACATTTAAATTAATGTTTCATTACACTTAAAAAATGTTAAAATTCAAATATTAGTTGATGAAAAACTCGCACGGCATGATCTCATTGAAAACTTGCTTTGAGAAAACACAGGTTCAACTGGTGCTGATATATGAAGAATACATTACTTTTCTAGCAACCTATGTATTTAAGATATCAATATGAATTTCCTTTTTTCCAAAATAAAGTTACTGGCGAAATTTTCTTCCCGCAAAAAAACTATTAATTTCGTCTGAAATTAATTTTGGTGTTGAATTTGTCAACTTGTGCTGTTTTGAATGAATGTGGGTGTGGATGACACAACAACACCTATACACCCACATCCACTCATATAGAGACACGCATACCAATATTCTTTTTCTCTAAAATCTGACATCGGCATACTCGGTAAGAAAAGGTCATCCTACTAAAAGCAATGTACTTTGAATGAAAACGAATAGCCCACATCACGGTGTTGTTCAGAATGTGTACGAATTCTCTTTTCGAAGAAGAACTTACGCAGTTTTTCAGATCTCAACGTTTTTGCACGAAAGCTGGTAAAAAATGACGAAGCTTTTATGCATTTACGACCACGAGAAGAGAAGCTACACAAGGTGTAGTACGAAAACTGTCGAACCGCACTGTAATCTTGTTAATCTCGGGACACTCTGATCGATTCACTTACGATCTACACATAAAGCGCTGATATGGTACATCGTTACCACTTTATCTTTCGTTTCTCTTGTTGTGAGAAAACGAACTTGTCCTTCGCATAAGGCACACCATTATCTTCTACCTCTTTTTTGCCCGTATACGAAAACAACCTGAGAGCATATAAAACAAGCCGATAATAAATCTTACAATCTAGTCATCTCTGCTTCGTTCGTAGGCAAGAGTTTCGCTGCAGGTAAAATGTCCTCAACAACAAATAGTATGAAGGTTACGTCTTCCAAACCGATTCGACAAAGCATCGAATGGATGTGGAAATCGACTAGTGATAATTGACCACATTCTGAACAAGAAGAATGGCACTGTTATTCAGACATTGAAACAGTTATTATCGAAGAAGCATATCAAGACAAACTCTCTGAAGTACTATTAGACGAGTGTCGTATCGACTTGAAATATTTCCTCAAAATATCGAATAGAGATGAGAACATACAACGGCCAGTGAAACGAATTCATCATGAACGAGTAGAAGAAGGACGATTACGAGAAGCTCGATTCATGTCCAATCCTATTGCACCATCAGCACCCTTCAGAGATCCACAGCTAGGCTTCCTTTATGCTACCCGACAGTATTTTAATATCCGTCGTGACCCAGATGATGACTATGGTACTCGACTAATGTTAGTCGAGAAAGCTGCTGAAGGTTTCATCATTGAAGCAAAAAAATTAGGCAAACAAAAAGAAGGAGAATGGCTTGCTCGTCAATTGCTGAAGGTAAAGCGAGGTACTCCCCAAGCGGTTTGGGAATGTTGTGTTCGTCTTTACTGCAAAGAATCATTTCTTTACAAGAAAATGAATGAATATATGCGGCTAGTAGGTGACAAAGAGCATGACGATCTCTGGAAAACTAAAATTCCTACATATGGTCCGTTTGCCTTTCTTCTTCTTTGGCGCGACACGGCGGCTTACACAAGAGATACGAAAACGACTGTATATCGAGGAGCCAATTTGTCTGATGATTTAATCGCACAATATCGACAAAAATGTGCAGCTACTTCCAAATGTCAAGATCAAGTGGAATTTCCTTCATTTACATCGACGAGTCGAAATCGAATGAAAGCGGAACAATTTGGCAATGTGCTTTTTGTTATCGATATAAATGATTTTAAGGGTCGTGATGTGTCTGCTTACTCGGAATACGATGAAGAAGAACATCTACTTGCTCCAAATTTTCTCTTTTATGTTCGGTCGTGCACCTTCGATGAGATAAAGAAAAAATGGATGATTCATCTTCAATATGACTAAGCTTAACGCATGTTAATTTCTGATCGATTCCTACTACTATGATTGTGCATCAGATCAATTTTTGTTCACTTGTTTGATTTGAAATCGATCTTTCTGAGAATCTTGTTTCAGTCGCAGTATATCGATTCACAGGATGGATATTACCCGATGCCTTTCCTCGTTTGTTTCTCCTCAGTTTGATGTTCGATTTTCTCAGCGACTATATACATGTGTATTTCACAATTTGCAAAATGAATGGCACTTGTTTTCTTCAAAAAAACAAAAGTTAATTATAATAGTTCATGAACAATCTGTCATTTGCAGGTACGGGTGAATCGGGATTTGAATGGATGTAAGTACATATGAAGACAAGCGTCATACTTGTACATTCACACTATCACTCAAATCCTGCTGCATGTTCATAAATGTTGGCGAGAACTATCGCAGAAAACAATACTAATACATCAGTGCTTAAGCTGAACAAGAAAACTTTATTGGAATAATTAGAAATGTAGTTGTGAATGTTTATGAATACTGTAGTGTACAATTTACCGATGGATCTCGTTAGGAGCATTTGTAAATAATATAAAGACTGCAGATGAATATGAACGAACAAAATAAGCCGTATATGGTGAGATCAAACTGAAAATATGGTATAATTGAATAAAATTCTATTGAAATGAAAATAGCTCGAATAATATTTCTGGATTTGGTGATAAAAATAATAGATAATCACTGATGATGTTACTTCTTCATACTAAATCAGCTTTTATCTTTCTAACATTATAGTTTTTACTATCCCCTAACAAATATTCATAGGCATGGTGATAAGATAATACAAAATGACTTCAGAAGAAATGATCCAACAAACAAGCATTCATTTTAAATCTGACATCAAAATAAATAATAATAATACAAAATTTGAAAAGAAATCATCTTTAAATAAAATCTTAAAATAGTAGTTTTTATATTATAAAGAATTTTTCTTTTAGGATTAATTATTATTCATTGTTGAATACTATAAAGAATTAATCTTATTTACTTTTCGAGCATTTTTAATAATAACAATAAAAACCAAATCTATTTCATATGTTATTTTTCATTTTATCGATCAATAGAAACGTATCAGTATTAATTGAATATAAATATCAAATAAAATATATCTTATCACAGATAGCTATAGCAAATTTCATATTTTTGGTTTTATTAAGAATAATTTCCAATTAATTATGCTACTCCAAAAAAAAACGTTATTATAAAAAGTTGCGATTTCCTACTCATAGCAAAAATACTCATTGCTATATTCTTACAAATTATGGAGACTATGATTTATGTTGTAAGCCAAAGCATTATGCATAGTGACTTCCATTGTGAAAATGTGCTTTTTTTCAAATGGACTCTACTAAACTAACTAATTTTATTTTTGTATCGTAGAATAGATCAACGATTTACCAGTGACAAATTATCTTTGAATCTGGTGCGAGACTATGCAATAAAAATGCTTCTAAATGTAAATGAATCAAACTATTCTGAATTATCTAATGTGTATTCAATAGGTGTTTTGAGCTAGGAAGCTTGTTTAAAAGAAGAAGTTTCTTGTGAATCTCATAGGAGCAATGAAAATATTCAACGACAAAGATTGAATCATTAGAAATCATTACGACTAAACGAATATCATAACGAAATATGGACTACCATTGAAACGTTCTATTTGGATGAATCGAAGTTAAAATATAATTTTGCGGAATTAAAGGTCTAATTTTTATATCATTAACAGTAAAACTATTGATTTGAAAAAAAAAACACTTGATTGGTCAACTATTGACCAATCAGGTGAGTTCTTCGTGTAGATTTTGAAAATGACATTCTGAAGCGATTCTCCATTGAATATTCACTTGTTATGTGACATGTCAATAGGAAAAAGTCTTCTCTTTTGATCTACAGAAACCCGATCTTTCTAGCATGTTTCGTTTAAGAGTTACAGAGCTTTTCCTGAGACCCCTGATTTCAGCTAATTGGTCTTGACAGACCCCAAAAGGGTTCATAACAGGGATATTTCATCATTCTGAGTCCATTGGTAATGTTTATTTTCAGTTTCGAAGCGAGCTGACACATCTTTTTCAAGATGTCGGATACTTCAGATTTTTAGTCTCCATAAGGGAAAGTTTGGATTTTGAGAAAATCTTTAAATTAATGTGTCTGCTCGCTTTGCAC